TCTCTCTCTCTCTCTCTCTCTCTCTCTCTCTCTCTCTCTCTCTCTCTCTCTCTCTCTCTCTCTCTCTCTCTCTCTCTCTCTCTCTCTCTCTCTCTCTCTCTCTCTCTCTCTCTCTCTCTCTCTCTCTCTCTCTCTCTCTCTCTCTCTCTCTCTCTCCTCATTGCTCCCGGGCAGCCTGGTTCAACGCATCCTGCTTGATCAAGCCCACGAGCGAGAGGAGCTTGGTGGCCGACTTCTCGTCAACCTGCTTCACGCGGTTGATGACATATTCTTCGCTGACACTCGGCACCATCTCGTCAAACCGTGCCGCCGCCGCCTCTTCGTCGGCAGCCTCCTCGTCGGCCATGGGGCCCGCGTCCTGGTCCCCTCCATCCTCGTCGTCCTCGTCTTCTTCGTCTTCTTCCGGAGCCATGCCGTCGTCGTCATCATCGCCTGTTTTCTGGGCCTCGTCTTTGAGCGTGTAGTCCGTGGCAATGATCTTGGCGATCTGGCTCGCCTCAATCGGCTCCTCGTGCTGCAAGCGGCGCAACTTGTAGCGCACTACACCACGCACCGTGCCCATCATCTGGCGGGTGATCCAGCCGTCCTGCGGGTCGGGCAGGGTCCTGAAGAAGTGGTTCTCGCCCTTGGCCTGTGCGTCCTGGATGAGCCGGTGGATGTCGGGGTCGAGAATGTCGCCCAATTGGTAGTTGATCGCGGCGGGCAACTTGGTGCCCGTGAAAAGCAAGCACTCCGAAACCTTGGCGTCGCTGTCCGGGTGGAACCAGGCAATCGTGTTCGGCAACACCTTTCTGGAGCTGTCCACAGACGCGTGCCTCATGTTGATCCCGTAAAGCCGGAAGTACTCGCTCTGGAACATCCAGAAGGACCGGTCGGCCGTCGGGTCCACGCCAAGACGCACGTTGCAGAAGCGCCAGGGCCCGTTCTTGTAGCAGTACGACACGTAGGGCAACGCCTCCTTGACCGCCAGCTTGAGCCGGTCCGGCAGCACGTCCACCAACGCCTTGCGGAGCCAGATGGGCTTGAGCGCAAAGAGCCGGTGCAAGTGCTGGATGCACTCGTAGAGCTTCTTGTCGGCCCACTCGTGCGACAAGTCCGTGCTCTGGAGCCAGGTGTATTTGGCCACGATTGCCGGCAACGGCCGGTCCGGCACCGTGCCCTTGTGATAGTCCACCGTGTTGGTGAACAACTTCTTGCTGTCGTTCTTCATCACCATCTTGACGTCGCCCTGGCCGTCGCGGATCGCCATCGTGAACGAGTTCTTCTTGTACTTGTAGTCGAAGGGGAAGCGCACGGCACTGAAGTGCGGCGGCGGCACCAACTGGTGGTCCCTGTTCTCGTAGTTGCCCGGCTCCTTGTACTCGTCCTTGTTGGTGAGCGTCTCGTGGTAGAAGGCGCGCGTGGCCTCGAACTTCTCGCTGTGGAGCACGTCTGCGTTGAACCGCTGCACCGTCGCGTTGTTTTTCGTCAGCATCTGGAAGTCCGCCATCGCCCGGAAGTTGTAGTTCTTGTTGACGATGGACACGGGCTCCACCCGGTGCTCCGGTCCGCCTTGTTCCTTGTTTCTTCTGAGAAGTTCCCGGATCAGGTACTTGCCGGGGTTGGCGTGGTAGTCTGCCGGAAGCGCCAGTTTCGGCACGCTGACTTTCACCAACACCTTCTCCCGCCTGTTCACCGTCGCCTGCACCGGGTGGTGGAACGGGTCTTTCCGGAGCCGCAACTCGAGATTCCGCTCGTCCACCGAATGGCTGGACACTTGGATGGGCAGCGGGCGGTACTGCGCGTTGGTGGCCATCCGAATCCGCTCTTTCCCTCCAAGCATGCTGATGGCACGGCTGGGGTTTTTGACGTTGAGAGGCAACTCCACCGCGGTCACGTGCGGAATGTCCATGGGGTACTTGGTCGCATACTCGTGGTCCATTTTGGCTGGCGGCGACTGTTTGTTTTGTTTGCAGGGCTCTGCAGACCGTGTTGATGTAGCCGGCTATCGATGGCACATCTCTATACAGTAGCTCCTGTTTATAGCACTTGCACCCAATATGGACTGGTGGTCTGGTGGCCCGGAGGCCCTGTGGATTTCGTCAAATCAATCAGGACAATTATTGGAGTAAACACTGAATCCCGCATGTTCCAGATCATTTGGTCGAGTTGTGATCCGTGGCTCCTAGTGTAGGCTCGACGCGCTTGACATAATCCGGGGCAGTAGGGGCTCAACGCGCTTGTATCTTGAGTTGACCTCTTTCTTTAAAGAGCCCTGGCGGCACACAAAACCATTCTTTTAAGGTTAATATCTGCTTCTGTTTCTTGTTTTTGTTTTTGCTCCATGGCTGCTTCAGGCGGCGGATGCAAAAATGTCATTTTGAGCTGTGCTTAGTTGAGGTGCAAACCGGTCAGATGGATTGGTGCTTCTTCCGTCCAGAAACGAAGACCGTGTCTTGCCGGGCTTCCTAGAATACTTCTCCATCAAATGATTTAAACATGGCTCTGGTCGTTGGAGCGTTTCTCCGACATTTCACTCTTGACTTGCCAACTTTGCTAGAAAGTGCTGACAGCTCCATAGCAACAACTTGATATATTGGCATTGCATCTGAGGTTCACTCCCATAGCCAGACAGAATCGATTTGAATCCAATTGAGATTGCTGATCAAAGAGTGGGCTGAATCCTTATTGTTGATTACTGCCACCTTATTATCTTACCATCCAAAGATATGGGCTAGTTTAAGAATTCCAGGTCCTAGAAATTAAATGCAAATATTTTGACCAAAGACGTGAAAAAGGCGATACTGCCACATAAAAGAAGTCACCAGACAATTCTGACCTTAGTTCGCTGCTCAATATTTTGTCTGATCCTACATGATACTAGCCGCCAGTGCAAAACCTGGTCTTGCGTCGTGTATGTACCGACTAGTTCTGACGCATATTCATATCTATAAGTGTTCAAGAAAAATCGGTTCCACTAATCCATTCGGTTGAGAGGTTCAAGTTCGCAATATTGCCCACCTGAAATTTACAAATTACACCAGGTTCAACTGTTAATCTATCAACAAAAAATGATGCCTTCAGCCAGATTCGAACTGACGATCTCCTCATTACTAGTGAGGTGCCTTACCAACTTGGCCATAAAGGCTTATGTGTTAACCACAGACCCTTGGACATATCTATCGATTAGTTCATTTTGTAATTTCATATTAGCTTCATTGTTTTCTGGTAGTACCTCCAAACTTTAGATTTTAAAGTTTTGAAATTCAGGTGTACTATTTGAAGAAATAAACGCCATGCGTTTGGCTGGAGGAGCTGTTGAACTGGCATTCGGTCTGCTGTGATGGGCTTTCGTTTCATTCCGAAGGAGGTTGTAGTATGAGTCATAGATTTGTCGTTCGGATTTTTCTGTCTTCGGGGTGGTTTTTGATTTCCTGTGTATTATTATGTAGTATTATTTCTTTGGTGAGATAAATCTAGTAGAATAAAAGAGGAGCCTAGGCCGTGCTCAACGGAAGTATCGAAAGACAATCTGCAATTAGATACCATATTTATCTGAAATCAACATACTCAGTATCTGGCTTAATTCAAGGTGCATTTTAGGAAGTTGAATAAAAGTCTTGCGGATTTCGCTTCCTGAAAATATCTAGTCAGAGACTTTGGTTCTTCGTGCAACTGAGCCGATATCTAGATCCTTTCTCAAAGAATTTATGCAGCTGATTTAGTTCCTTGCGACATCGTGAGTCTTTGAGTTGTTTAAAAACGGTTGAGTTTCTTTTATCCGACGGCCTCAGCAAAGCCAAAAGTATCGTGGTTTCTTCTTGTGATTCATATACTACAAGTCACTATGCTATCCCAGCGAGACGTCACTACTCCTGATGTCTAATCTTTGTTTGTGAGTCAAGCTTTAACCGTGAAAGATGTTTATTCTCCTGAGTCTATCCTTTTCATAAATAAACCGCTGGCACTAATTTTTTTCTTTTTTTTACTGATAATTCTGCTAGCTAAGCACATACGAAGCCTCGTTTTTTCGATGTGATGCAAAACAGATGAGCACCCTAAAATTGTTTAAGGTATAAGTACTATAAAGCCAACTTTCGAGCATATTCCAAAGCTTTTATCGCTCCGGGTTACAATACAATTCAATGCGCCAAAAATATTGTTCAACAAGCAATGTAATCAGATATTGCAGACTGCGGGCGACTTTGATATTCTTTGTTACTTTCTACAATCTTGTGCTGTTTGAGTGAGGCATGTCCATTGAGCTCAAGGAAGACCAAATGTTTCAAAAGATTTAAGAACTGACTTTTATGGCACAGCTACTTACTAGGCGCAGACAATAAAATCAAGAACTGCCCAAACAATATGAATATGTTGGAATCGAGATGGAGGGCAACACAGATATAAATAGTGATTCTCAAACACACCATCAGAAGAACAATGAATTGTCCTTGATCATGCAACAAGAAGCGGGTTCATGTTGCTGGTCCTGGGTTTCAAAATGATGTTTTGTATCTTGCTTTGATGTTGTTACTGTTGATGCAAAGTGCTCCACAGTGTCCATACATTAGAGGCCAATGCTTGCTCTGCTCTCACCTAAGAAATATTGTACTCATAATGCCCCGAGCTGTATTACGGACTTGGAAGAGCATAAACTGTGTCGAGGGTGCTTACTGGCAATATTGTACTAGAATCGATGCACCGCATCTTGGGTCTCGCTCAAAAACCGGTCTTTTTGATATCCCCCACTGATGAATTAGACATGAGATTCTCGAAAATTCTCAAAAATAATTAGCATATACCCAAACCTGGTCAATCATCAGTGAACTCACGATTTGTATCACAGTTGGTTCCGAGCGCCCCGAAGGCTTGGTATCGAGCGCTTGTTTCCTTTTTCGGTACGCGACACGAATCAAAAACACGCTGCAAAAGTGCTGCAAAAATCCCTGGTGCTAGCCGCCCCTCTACAAGCAAAAAAAACAAGGATACTCTAGCAACTACTCCAAAATGATTCTTTTTTCGTTTTTAAAAGTAGACTTTGGAAGGATGCGGCAAGGCGCTATCGGTAAAAACGCACCATCAAATTCATATCCTCAGTTCGGTATTTTGCTACCAGACAGGCTCCGAATTGAACCTGAACTAAGAAAAATCCTGATCACGTTGTTCTCTAGTGTTTGTCTCTCCATAGAGTGGGGCATTATTCTATTCTGAGCTTAGCCGCAAAATCCAAGATAGTTCGTGTACTCGCCATCTGAAGAATCGCAGCTGAAAATCACAAAAAGCAGATCAAAAGCACAAGCTTACCCGGTTGTCTCTGAAGGTGAAGCAGCGCAGACAAACGTGACCATAAGATCCAACAAACGGAAGATCGCTCAACGCAAAGTTCGCCCCTGATTTTTTCATGCTTGTTTTCACATGCTTGTCTTCACATGCTTGTTTTACTAGGTATTCTTACATGCCACATCTTACTCTCCAGCCACGTCCGTTTTCACATGGCTTGTTTTTATTGGCTCTTTATTTCACTCGTCGGTACATCCGGGGATCGCATTTGTTAGCCCAAGTCCGACAAACTGGGAGGGCGCGCGGGTGGAAACCGCGCGCTGTGATTGGCGGCGCGGATCGGCGGGCCAGGAGTGCGTCGGGCATAAAACCGGAGGATTTTGACCTCCGCGACTTTTCCACCTGCTTTCTTCCCCGGAAAACACCAAACAAAAAAAACACTTTTGAAAATGTTCAAGTCCGCCTCCAGATCCTTCTCCTCGTCCGCCTCTGCTGCATACAAGGTCGCCGTCTTGGGCGCCGGCGGTGGAATTGGCCAGCCATTGTCCCTCTTGATGAAGTTGAACCACAAGGTCACTGACTTGGCCCTTTACGACTTGAGAGGTGCTCCAGGTGTCGCCGCCGACGTGTCCCACGTGCCAACCAACTCCACTGTCAAGGGCTACGAGCCTGAGGGCTTGAAGGACGCCTTGACCGGCGCTGACGTGATTGTTATCCCAGCCGGTGTGCCAAGAAAGCCAGGTATGACCAGAGACGACTTGTTCAACACCAACGCCTCTATTGTGCGTGACTTGGCCAAGGCCGCTGCCGAGTACGCTCCTAACGCTGCCCTCTGTATCATCTCCAACCCTGTCAACTCGACTGTCCCAATTGTCGCCGAGGTGTTCAAGTCGAAGGGTGTCTACAACCCTAAGAAGTTGTTCGGTGTCACCACCTTGGACGTTTTGAGAGCTTCCAGATTCGTGTCCGAGATCGCCGGCACCAACCCTGTCGATGAGCACGTCACCGTTGTCGGTGGTCACTCCGGTATCACCATCGTTCCTTTGTTGTCTCAAACCAACCACAAGGACTTGGACGTTGAGACCAGAGACGCTTTGATCCACAGAATCCAGTTCGGTGGTGACGAGGTTGTGCAAGCCAAGAATGGTGCTGGCTCTGCCACTTTGTCTATGGCTCAAGCCGGTGCCAGATTCGCCGGTGCTGTGTTGAACGGTTTGGCTGGTGAGGCTGACGTCATCGAGCCATCGTTCGTCGAGTCCCCATTGTTCAAGGACGAGGGTGTCGACTTCTTCTCCTCCAAGGTCACTTTGGGTGTTGAGGGTGTCAAGACCATCCACGCCTTGGGTGAGTTGTCTGCCCACGAGGAGGAGTTGGTCAAGAAGGCCAAGGAGACCTTGATCACCAACATCAAGAAGGGTGTTGACTTCGTCAAGCAGAACCCATAAGCTTGCTGCTTCAACTATAGAAATCCTTTGTATTTAAACCTCTTATAGTATATGCAACTGAAATGTATCGCCGTTTCTCGTGTAAGTGGGAGTCCCCAAAAGCTTCTGGGATCAAGTCAATATTTTGCGTATGTGTTGTATAGACATCTATGACGTGACAAGCTTTCGTATGTTCAAACATAGGAATTGAGTTTTTCTCAGCTAAATTGATTATTCTACTCCAACGAAGCCTCGAAAAGCTGGCTTGCACAACTCACTCGTTTTCTTTCGATTGCTCTTCCCCAATCCGTCATGCCAGGCAAGTATCTTGTTTGCACGCATAATTCAAAATTTTTCCGCTGGAGCAAATTTAAGAACTTAGAAATAGCAAAGAACTTGGCGGATTTGAAGGACAACTCCGATTGACGTTATCTTTCAACCTGTCCGACAAAGAAAATAACACAGAACATTAGCATCTGTCTTCTTAAAATTCAACCGCCCAAAAAAACAATTTCGAAAAAAGCGTGAAGTCTAATCTTTTCAAAGCAATTATAGAAGCTTATACAGGAGATGGTTGGCACCTGATTGCAATCTATTGTTTGAGCCTTCTTAGAAATTGGAATACAACTGCTTAAATTTTCTGAGGTAAGACCCAGAATATCTTTAGGGAACATTAGGAACATCTGCCACATTACGCAAGAGAATTCTTTCAATAGAAGTTTCTATTTCTCTGTGGAATCAGCCTTCAAAACCATTTTTACGCGTTGAGTTTACCTTCCATTTCAGGCATGTTTAGGCCACAAGGACATCGCTGAGTTTTGAGTTTTAACCCAGTGTGGCTTTTGATGCTTTTTCATATTTAAGGACTATGTCTGAACTGTTTCAGGAATTTTACATTCCTTTCTCAAGAAAAATATCTCGCTTTAAGGAAATTGTTCCCTCAATCAAATGGGAAACTAAAGTGGTGCTGATTCTTCAGAAAATACAACTCCCACTTCTGAATCAGCGGTGCTTGAGGAGAATTTAAATAGCATGCAAAGACAGTTTACCATTTATCATTGGTAATGTCTTGTTGTGCTTTCATCTTGTAGAAGATAGCAAGCCCCGAGTTCCCAATGTAGCTCTGAAAGCCCTGGCTCTCATGACTTTGTATGTATAGTGTACAATTTCCCACATTGCTGAATTTTGATTCAAGCAAATCAAATGGTGCTGTCTGAATGACGCCTTTTTACAGTCAAGCAACTATCGCTGTGTTCTAATATGCTGCATTCTTCTCTCTGCTCCCATGATAAACCATAACAGAAGGAGACACACTGCTTCGTAAAGACCATGGATAATTCTTGATTTCTTCGCTTTCGGTATGATGATGAATAGGTTGCATAGCCCTTCAGCCCAATTTCAACATTTAGACCAGCTATCAAGTGAAGCTGATCTAATATCAGAGCTATAAAAGCTTCGAATAACTCTTTACACGGTTTGGGGAACCCGAAAAGCTTGCAGCGCATTTGTTTTGCCCGAAGTCACTTAAAAGTACTCTTTAGAAATCAGAGAAAGAAGTGATCAGTTTTTCCACATTTTTTTCCATAAAGACGACTCGAGATCAAAAAGTACGAGCAGTGCTCAGCGCCGTTAAACATAACCTTGGGCTGACTGCTCACAAAAAGTTTGAGCGTTTTAAATCGCCTTTGAACCTGAAAACAACTACTTCAGAAAACAAATGTATGACATGTGTTCTGAGTCTATTTGGGCAACTTGCTCCACATTAGGGGGAAACTGAAAAAAGATTTGTTTCGGTGCTTTGGTCCATCAAATTGAGCATAACAAAGTTCAGGATCACGGCTTAATCTGAACTAGCCAATTTCACACAATAGTCCCGACCCACTAAAACGGCTTAATTCACAATCGACTCCTACGATTCATAGAGAGAAGCTGAAACCATGTCCCTAACTTCCAAATTACAAAAAACAAGGCGTTTTTTATCGACTCTCATTAGGCCGAACAGAATCGTGATACCACCAGAATCTAGAAAATTGATGACACCCCGCTAGCAACCGAAGACAATTATTTGCTAGTTTGTCATACAGTGGCACTTTTCGTTCAGCGCCAGCGAACTCCATGCTTGAAATTGAAATTTCAAACTAATTGGTGCGTTCGCCAGATTCCAAGGCAAAGCGTGACGCGCTCGCTATTGAGAAACAAAGCACGATATGAAAACCAAGCTCATTAAGCTCCATGCCCCAATCAGACATCAGAATCAAGGATCAAATTAGCATCTATTTCGCTTGCAGTACGGTTCGATGTCCAAGAAAATTATGTATGACCCTATGTTAATCGTAAGACATATGGCCCCACTAACTGTGTACGCCGGTCTAAACTTGGCATTTTTTGACTATTTTTGTAATGTTCCATTTCGTCCAAATTTTCAACCGCGCATCAAATTATCAAAAACCTCGTTTGCTTCCGACATTCCCCGTGTATTCAGGATAATAGGGAGAACTCAACAAGCCTTTCTAAGCTTAGTATGTCGGGCAGAACGGAGTTGTGATGGGTCTTTGTTGACAGCGCCTGTTCTTGGCACGTAATGTTGTAATTAAGCCTACATGAGCTCGCAGTGTGAGCGTGTGAATACTCAAAGTTTAAACCAAATGTCGTAAGGCAAGTTTGCTAGAAACGAAAAACGAAGCTCAAGGCGAAGGGTGTGGGCCTTGTTCTATGCGCAAATGACACCTGGGACTTATTCTGTGCTGTTTCTTGTTTGGGTCCAAAATCCGCAATGCCGTATCGGCGTTTGGGAATCCAACATAAGTGACGCAAGCCTTGTTTGATGGGCGCCGCAGGATATCTCGTTTGGGCAGTCGCGCTCATGTGAGACAATGCCCGTTGGTTGCCGATACAGGCCGCGGCGGTGGGCCAGACCGGCGGTGAGCACCGCTCAAAAAAAAAAAAAAAGAAGGCTTATGTGAGGCGTGAAGACACGGAACGTGATCTAGGCAGGCAGGACCCTGCCGTAATAACACAACTGTCTGCTGATTTTTTTTTTCTTTTTGAGAACGAGAGAAGTTCAGAACAGACATGTTGGCCGGACTTCTCCACCTCCTTACAGACGCGTCTCCCTCACGCGTCCTCACATGCAGTAAATGTAAATATAAACTTGCCTGCATGCTTCTGAAGCTGCTGCGAAAAACTCATGGACTGGCCTAACCATTGGAGCAGAGAGCTGGGGAAACCTGGGGTTTCGAATCTCAGCGTTTCGTAACGCAGCGCGGTGTTTCGCCAGCTATAGGCCGAGGACAGCCACAAAGCCCAGCGAGAAACGGCTGCCCAAATTGTTTCTATATCTATCTTTCTGATCCTTTTTTTTTTTTTTCTTGCTCGGGCAAAGAAATAAATGCGGCGATCGTGGTTGAAAGTGCCAAGATATTACGGTAGAATGTGTAGAGTTCGCCTATGCACTTGAGAAATAAGCAAACAGACATGTGACTTCTCTGCTATCGGCATGAAAGGGCAAGTTTAGAGAGCCTTAGTGCCCGGGTGTCCGGAGACGAATGATTCCGGGTATCTCGTTCTTAGCGTATCTCGAGACCAATAAATCGGCATCGTTGACAATGGCATTGTGCACACACACATGTTTGGCAGTGTGCCTCAAGTGTTTGATTGGGTAGCCAAGGCTGGGCATGAATCTGCATGGAGTTTTTGAGCTATTGTAAGCGCCGTTTTGTATATTCGAAGTGCCCCAACAAGCACGCCCAGCGACGTGCCCTAATTGATTGCGAGATTTTCAGGGATGCGGGAGACCGGTCACCAGGAAACAGCCCACGGAGAGCGCCGAATTTTGCACGACTCCACGGACCAGATGCACCAGAACGGTAGCACAATTAAAGGCCACATTAACAAGTCTGTTCTCCCTTTTTGAGTGGGACAATAGGCCCAGATAAGTGATTTTTGAAATTGGCATTGAACAATGTATTTTGGAAGCGGAGCGTGCCGGAACAGTGAGCCGCAAATCCTCGGTGCCCGCAGTGGGGCGGATGCGACACCACCGGCGCCCAGCGCCGCATACGCGGGTTGCTTTTTGCAGTGAGAAAACAGAAATCCACCTGCTGGCGGCCATGTCACTCTAAATTGCAGACTTGCCCCGAGACGCTGCAGCCACGGCATGTGGGCGATATGCAGTTTTCTCCAGCGGGCGGGCAGCTTCAGAGTGCACCCCTGGCGCCCGTGGCCCACTAGATGGCGGAATGTCGCGGTGGCCAGCTTTTCCCGAGTTTCTCATTTGGTGTCGTTTTGCACGCAACCGTTCGCAGCCCCGAAAACAAGCGCTTTGGGTGCGTTCTTTTTTTTTTTTGAACCTTGTGATTCTGCCTCGTTGTTTCCCACGGCTTCACGTGGCTCTATTTTGATTTCCTCTTGAGGACCTTGCCTTGTACTCCAGCCAGTTTCTTGGCCCCTGTCTGAGTCTGCCTTGTGTCCCTGACTTCCAGCCTTCGTCTGCGACATTCTAGATTTCCACCCAACCGGTGATCACAGAGACCAGCGGCTTGTGCTTGGGTTGTTTCCTGCCACAGCACATTTTGATCCCGAAATCCAAAGCCCACTGCAAAGCGGGCCTGCGGGAATCTTTTCTTTTCTTCTCTGGTTGTTATTTTTTTGGTTGACTCCTGATCTTTCTACGATCTGTTCAAGGGTTTGTTTTGGGTCTTTCTCGAGTCTGTTTTGGGTCTTTCTAGAGTCTGTTTTGGGTCTTTCTAGAGTCTGTTTTGGGTTTTTCTGGAGTCTGTTTTGGGTTTTACTAGGGCCTGCTTTTACGTTTCCTTCCAGTGCTACTTCGAGGACTCCTACCAGTGTTCTGGGTCTGTTCCACGGTCCACTTTTGTGCTTTCCGCCGGGTCTTTCCAAGGGTCTGTTCCAGCCCCAAGTCTATTCAAGAGTCTTTTGAAAAGTCCTCTCCAGGGGTCCATTCCAAAAGGCGTTTCCAGGAGTCTTTTCTGGGAATACACCCCAGGAGTCTTCTTCCAGGGCGTCGTCAGCTCGCTTTTCAAAGCCTGCTCTAAGTCTCATCCAAGGCCTTTTATTCCCTGTTCCATCAGGTACTGTCAGGTCTAAGTTACATCATCAAGGCCCCTCAGTCCTACCGCAGGAACCGCCCTTCGCCACGGCATATTCGCTTCTGTTCAAAGGCCTCCGTGTCCGAACCCCTCATATTAGCCGCCCGCAAAACCCGCCCCTTTTTTTCCCCCTGCAAGTGATGCCGTCATGGACAAGTATCTCATGAGCTCCCCGACGCAGCTCACGCAGTTCTTCATGCCTGGCGACCTGCGGCCGCGCCAGCCTATCGACGACAACAACGGCCTCATGGGCCCGCCCGAAAACGGCAGTCCCGGCGGCTACGAGGACTTGGACTACGCCTCGGAGTTGCCCGATTTCTCCTACGACCACCTGGCCACGTTGGACTTGGACGACGTGGAGTCCCGCGCCACGCCGTTTTTCTCCAAAGGCCACTCCAAACACTTCTCCGTGGACGGCCATTTGCAGATGCCGTTCACCTTGAACACGGGCGCACGGCTCGGCTTCCAGCACCTGCGCAACGTGTCGCTCGACGACCAGCAATATCGGCCGGTGCACGTGACGCCGGGCGCCCAGCACGGCCAGTCGGTGCTGCTGACAGGCAACTCCGCAGACCCGCCCTCGGGCACGTTTCTGCATCTGGTGTCCACCTCCACGTTTGCGCTGGTGGACCTGGCGCTGCAGCTCTCGCTGCTGGTGTCCACCAAGCTGCTTCTCGAGTCGCCGTACTCCAGCTTGGGTGCCGCGGCGCTGACGCCGGCGCGGCGGAAGATGCTGGCGTCGCTTTCGTCTGGGAACCTCTTCACAACGCCGCTCCGGGGCTCTGTGGGCCAGTCGCCGGGGCTCAAGGTGGCCAAGGCGCTGGCGGGCCACCGCCGCAATCGCCTGCGTGCGTCTGTGGAGCCGGGCCTGGCGCTGCTTTTGGCGCTGATTGCCAACCTGAAGGCAACGCACGTTCCTCACAACCAGCCGTTCAACGGCCAGCCATACAACGGGCAAGCGCACAACTACCAAGCATTCAACGGGCAGGCCTTCAACGGGCAGGCGCACAACAACCAAGCATACAACATTCAAGCATACAACGGCCAGGCATACAATGAGCAATCATTCACCAGCCAGGCATACGGCAGTCATGCGCCCGGGGGCCACGCGCCCCAAAACCCGTTCGAAAGCGCCGTGCTCTCGCCGAGCCTGGGCCCTGCAGACCGCTTTGACGGCACGCCCCTGACCACGCCACAGGCAGGTGCCCTGGCATCCATGTACTTCACGCCCGTTGCCCAGAGCCTGCATTTCGGAGGCTCTTTGCACGAGTCGAGTTTCGGTGCCACGGGCGCGCAGCTCCCCCGCATGATGATGCCGCCGCACAATACGTTCCGCACGGGGCCGTCCTTGCCGAGGTCGGACACCCTCGAGCTGCTTGGCCTCCAAGACCAGGACGACGACGCATGCACCCAGCTCCGCCGTAGTCTCCCGCGTGCCGGGCTCAGCCGCTCTGCCAGCATGCGCAACATCCCCGCTCAGGGGCCCTACGTGCACTCGCCATTAACGGGCCACGCCGCGGCGCAGATCGACTTGCTCCTGCCCGAGCTTGTGGGCCAGCTGCGGCCCTCTGCATTGAAGTCGTACCCGGCGTCAATCGACCTTGCGTCCATCACGAAACTGGGCATGGCGCTGGCTTCGGCGCTGGCTTCGGCGCTGGGGCCGGCGCTGAACATGGCGCTGCCTGGGCCGCCCGGAGCGCCCCACAACGCGCTCTTGCCGCCGCTCCCATCATCGCGCTCGGCAGCCAGCATCCCGACACTCACGGGCTCTGTCTACGAGGAACGAGCGCTGCTGGCTTCCAAGGAGTCTTTCCCCAACATATCGCAGATTCATGAGACTTCTACTACCGACGACATTGCCAAGTTCGCGGAGCACATTTTGAAGTCGGACATGAAGCGGCCCATCGTGGTGCACGAGGACTCCGCGGACGTGGACGACCCGAAGAAGAAACACAAGTGTCCGCTCTGCTACGCGCGGTTCCAGCGGCCCGAGCACGTCAAGCGCCATTTGAAGAGCCACTCTTCGGAAAAGCCCTTCCAGTGCGACGTGCCAGACTGTGGCCGGCGATTCAACCGCAAGGACAACTTGAAAGCGCACTTGAAAAAGATCCACGGCAACATTGCGAGCTGACCTGGCGCCGGTCCTCGTTTTTGCAGGGAGGCCGTTTCCCCTCTGATAGTCATACATTTGCTTGTCCTGTACTGGCACACGCACGATCTACTCTTTGGAGGAAGTCGTTGCTATATTGATACTTTTGCATTACTTCCATAACTTTGTGCTTTGTAGAGAACTGGCGCCTAGCTAAAGCTTGGGGGTGCTTTGGTCCTTGTCGCTGACGCAGGCATCGGTCGTCGCTCTTGACTCGGTTGTTGGTTGTGCCTTTGGTTCTGCCGCTGACTGGGTAATTGAAGTGATCATGTAGATATGCACAGAAAGCTCCTTTCATTCTCAATGATATCATATTCTTGATGGTCAGATGTTTTGCCAGTGTGGTTCTTTTCAGTGTGGTTGACAAAGCTTTCTACGAAGCCTCTCTTTGACATCCAAAGTCCTCAAAGGCCATTGTCGGCAGAGGGATCTTTGGTGGCATTGCCGTGCTCATGCTCCTTTATCCTGGATACGTCATCGATTTGGATATCGAAGTCTTTTTTTAAGGGCTACCTCTTTTCACGAGAATGTCTATATCAAAGTGATCTGGGTGATACGGTTAATGCTATGGGGGATCTCCTTTCTCATTGACATAGATGATGACATTGACAGCGGCTCTTTGCAAAAAGATGTTACACTGCTCTCATTGACACACTTCTCAGGCATCTTTTTCATGGCACATCTGCCATGATGCTTTTCATGGACATCAAAGATGGTTTCATGGACATCATAGATGGTTTCATGGATACTATAGATGGTTTCATGGACATCAAAGATGGTTTCATGTACATCTGTCATAGATGCTTTTCATGAACATCATTGACGGTTTCATGGACATCTGTCATAGATACTTTTCATTGACGTCATAAATGCTTTTCATGGACGTCATCGATGGTTTCCATGGACCGTTGCTTATTGGGCAAGAGATATTTGAGGTAATATCATGCAAAAACTCACGAAGGTGGATGATTTATTGATTGTTTTACTAGAATTAAATGGTAAAGCCCCGATTTCTTTATTTTCTTATCAAATTACGTAAGCTCCATGAGCTCATTTAGCGGAGCATGATCTGATATACTTGCTGAATTTGATTGAGATGGCAAAGGCACGAACGTAGGACGGACTCTGTGATAAAATACCGAGTTAGTTGAGGAGGTATGTGTCTTCGGAAGAGTTCTGAAAAACTTCCTCGTCGATCAAAGCTTATTTGTATCAAACAAGGTGACTTTGTTTATGTTCGTAGAGAAAAGTCTCAAGTTACCACTGGGTGAATGTATGTTTGCATCTTGTGACTGCAGTGTCCTAATCTCATTCACGTCGCGAGAGGCGAAGAGACACATCTCTTTCCGAAAAGCACTGACTGTCAAAAAGTAAGGATTGTATAGCGCAGGCTGGTGCTAAAGAACCGGAACTGACTAACAAAAGTCTCGAAGAAATGTCGATCATGTGGAGGCAATCGTTTTAGAAACTTCTAGTTAGTATGTTTTAATTCCAGATAATGTGAAACAATTGCTCCAATACAGATCAAAATACAGATTACCAAGTCTTGACATGGATTTAACTTTAACTTGATGATCTACAGTAGGATACTTATATGTCATTGGAACTCTTCCAACAAGACATTGATCACCTGACTTCACGATCCAATAAGAGACATGTCAAAACACGAGTCTGCGAGTCTACTCCCCCATTTATCTGGATGCCATCGAATTCTTGGTTTCATGGACATTAGATGGTTTTATGGGCATCTGTCATAGGTTCTTTTCATGGACATCATAGATGGTTCATGCACATCATAGATGGTTTCATGGACACTTCTCAGCATGGGCATCATTGATGATTTCATGGACATCATAGATGGTTCATGTACATCATATATGGTTCATGTACATCATTGGTGGTTTCATGTACATCATATATGGTTCATGTACATCATTGGTGGTTTCATGTACATCATTGATGGTTTCGTGGACATCAATACTTGTCGTTGACATCATAAATGGTTCATGGACATCACAGATGTTTCATGGACATCGATACTGGTCGTTGACATGTATCCCATGTACTCATCTCCGAACAGTCTACTGCCTAGAGTGGCACAAGACCTTCACCGCGTAGATACTTGTCGTTTCATAAGACACTTTACACAAACACTTCTTCGACTACCAAGAAAAGCTCGAATGGACAATCCGGCACCTCATAAAAGACACGATCAACAAAACACTCAACACTCAACACTCAACAACACTCAACACTCAACAACACTCAACACTCAACAACACTCAACACTCAACACTCAACAACAAAAACGCTCAACAACAAAAACACGGCCGCATCAAGCACAGGTCGCCCCACACCATCCCCCGCCATCGTCCTCAGTGCCCCGGGTACTTCCTCACCACCGCGTCCACGGCAGCACAGTACTGCGCGATGTTGGAGTTGTTCAACCCCGCCACGTTGACCCGGCCGTTGCTCGTGCCATAGATGTGGTGCTCCTCCTGCAACTTCTGCGTCTGGACGCGGCTCAAGCCCGTGAACCAGAACATGCCCGTGGCCCGCGTCACGTGGTCCCACGTGCCCGGCGTGCCCATCGCCTCAAACGTCTCGAGCATCTTCTGCCGCACATCCCGGAGCCGAGCCGTGACGTCCCGCACGTCCTGGAGCCAGATCGGGCGCACCTGTGGATTTTCCTGGAGAATGGCCGCCACCCGCGCGCCAAACGCCGGCGCAAAGGAGAACTCGGTCCTCACCAAGCGTGTCAACGCAGAGCGGAGCCGCTGGGCGGACGCCTCGTCGCGGGCCCGCACGTGGGTGCACCCCACGCGTTCGGAATAGAGACCCATGTTCTTCGAGTAGCTCTGGCACACCATGAACTCGAGGCCCTGGCGCCACGCCTCGCGGATGGCCCACGCGTCCTGGTCCACGTCGCCGCTGGCAAAGCCCTGGTACGCAATGTCGAAAAGCGCAAAGAGCTTGCGGGCCCGGATGAGGCCGAACACGCGGAGCCACTGCGCCTGCGTGAGGTCGAGCCCCGTGGGGTTGTGGCACACGGCCTGCAACACGAACACCGCGCCCTCGCGCGCAGAGCTCAACGCATGCACGATGGCGTCGAAGTCCACCGTGTGCGTGGCGGCGTCGTAGTAGCTGTACGCGATGTACAGCCCGCCCGCATGCTCGACCATGCCCTGGTAGTTCCCCCAGCAGGGCTCGCCCACGTGGAAGTCCGTCAAGCCCAACTCCACGAGCAACGCGAAGGCCAAGTGCAAGGCGCCGGAGCCGGCCACGCTCTGCACCGAGGCCACGTCGGCGTGGCTGTCGCCAAAGATCGTCTTCTGCGCCTGCGCCACGAATGCAGGAATGCCCGACATCTGCGTGTAGCAGTGGCCGGGGTCGTCCGCGGCCAAGATGCTCTTGGCGGCCTTGACGCTGGGGAACACGTAGTTGGGGTCGCCTTCCTCGGACTTGTAGACGCCGATGCTGACGTCGATTTTGGCGGGGTGCTGGTCTGCGGCGTACGCGTTCATGAGCGCCACGATGGGGTCCTCGGACGCGTCCGGAAGCGCGAAGAAAGTGTGCGGGGCCATGGTGGTTTGTTTAGCTGGACACGGGGCCGAAGGAGGGCGAGATTATGGCTTTTGAACAAGAGCCTGTGCGCGCGGTGCCTCTCTAATTTCGGCGCTGGCGGGCGGAACATGCCGTGCTTTATATGGCCTCGCTCGGTTATGCATGCGGGCGCACGGGCCCCGCATCTAGCCGCGAACACCCGGCGCGCGCGGCGTGTTTTCTGCAGCGCCGCAGCCTCACCGCTTGGCTCGGGCCACCATGCGCGCAGCAGTTTCGCAGACGGCCAGCGCTGGACTTCCAGCCGGCGGCAGCATGGCCTGGAGGTTGCGCTGCGCGGCCAACGCCAAATACCTCGAGTTGTTGCAGAGGGCGCCATGCGCGGCGGCACTCTGCTCGGCCCCGTCTGCCTGGTCAAGAGCGTCTTCCAACTGCCGCAAAAACGCGTGCAACTGCGGGAGAAACTCGCTTGCAAAGCCGTCCGCGCCGTACATGCCACGGATCTCGTCCGCGCCGTGGTTCTGGAGAAACACGCAGATGGCCGTGATTTTCTGGAGAAGCGTGCGGATGTCCACCGAGGCCCCGAGCCCCAATGCGCAGCCCAAGAGCTGTTTCTGCATCGCGCTTTTCGCGCCGCGCCGCTGCGCAGCCGCTTGCAAGAGTAGCAGAACAACCTCTCCGGATGCGTCGCACTGCAGCAAGTACTGCCACCCGGCCTCAAAGACCATGGGGTCCGCGTCGCCCTCCAAACAGGCGAGCGTCACGAGCTTCCGTAGAAACTTGAGGTATACGTGTCCGACTTCCGGGTAGTAGGCGAAGTTGTCCACCACCACCTTGGTGTTGCGGTAGAAGGCACGTGCATTGGCCTCCACGAGTAGGCCCCGTGCCACGTCTCTGGTCATGGCGTTGTTGAGAAAGTGGTACGCCTGGTAGTACACCACGTCGTGGAACGCATGGCGCACGAGGCCCTGCGCCACGGCTGCAAGCGGTGCGACGTGCCCTATTCTCTGGGCGAGCTCGGCCTGCGTCTCGGGGCTGGACACGCAGTTGCCAAGCGAGACCGCAGCGCATGCCACCACCGCGTCCTGGCCACTGGCCAAGTCCCGGACCTTGCGTTCCATGTCCTGCCAGTTGTCATGTGCCGGCCACGAGTAGATATTGCCGCAAGAGGCAAAAAGCTTCCGGGCGACGCCGGCCAGCTGCTCGTCGTGGACCGGGAGTTCCAGGAGCATTTCGCGGAGCCTTCCCACGGGGAAGTCCTTGCGTGCGTCGTCTACGCTCGTGGAGCTAAGTAGAAACTGCGCGTGCATCAGAAAGCACTCTGCGGCGCAGGCATATGCGGTGGCCTTTCGGCACGCCACGAACCCGTCCGCAACGCGCTCGAACTGCGTCTTGGTGACGTGCTCCGGAAAAAACCGGGCGTACTCGACAAGAAACTCCATGGGCCCGCACATCTCGTCTGGAGTCGCGTCGAGCGCCCCGTGGTATGTGAAGGTCCAGTCCACGGCTCCTTTCCGCCACAATGCCTCCACAAACTCCCGTTCTTCGTTCTCGTCCACAGACCGTACAAACTGGTTGACCAAGGTCATCACGTAGTGCAGCATTGGCTCGCCCGCCACGCCGGCGGTCTTGGATTCGGTGCCGAAAGCCTCGGTCCAGAACGCCACGAGGCTCGGCTCCTCCGAGAGCAAGTACCGCCTGTTGTCCACGTGGTCGGCACAAAAGTTGATCAACAGCCGAAGCACATGAAACGCTTGCTCGTGGTAGAAGGACACCACCAACGGGATCATGCTCTTGGCAGACGCCGCCAGCCTATTTGGCGCATCCCGAAGAAGCGTGCCGAACTCGTCAAGGCCATGCCTCACGTCCTCTCGAGATTTGAGAGCGTGCTCGATGATATCGAACCTATTCGTTTCCAGTACATCCAGAATATGCATCGGGGAGAGTTTGTAGCACAGGCGCAGGTGCTGAGAACAAGTTGCCGCATTCAGCCAGTGATTAGAAATAGGCGGTGCGTCTGCGCGCTCTCGCATGGGCTGCAACACACGCCCATTATACGAGTTTCGGGCAAAAAGAAATTTCCCAGGCTGATGCATGCGAGAGGCGCTCCTTGGGAGCACGCTTCCAGGGACAGGGATTACTCGCCTAGTTTTTGAGAGGTTTTTGGCTGGTTTTGGGTTTTTCATGGCCTTTTGCAGGTATTGAACGGTGTGTGGTGCGTCTCAATTTGTGGAAGTTTTGGAAATAGCACGGGGCTTTACAAACCTGATGAATGGACAAGATTTTTGAGACGTGCGACCTGAGGCGTATTTTTGTTTCATTCTACAATGGAAAATAAAATAGTCGGACATTTGTATCTTTGCACTAAAGCCCCTCTTAGTTTGTCATGGCTTTCAATTTGAACGTCACTCGGATCTGCAAAAGACGCCCTCGCGCCATGTTCAAAATGACGTTGCAATTTGGACCATGATCTCACGGTCGAGTAGGACCAATCAAGCGCTTCAAATATGTTTTTTATTTGAAAAGATAATACATGTTCAGCAATGGTTCTGCCTGTGCATAACTTTTCCTCAGACTAGAATCAATATACTGATGAAAACATGCTTTGTATGTATCAGATATCTGACCTCGGGTACGAGGATGGTTCTAAAACTGAGCCACCTAGACCAGCTGGTGCCTACAAGTTGGAATTACTAGTTCTTATATTTGAACGAGAAATCAGTCTTCTGTCCTCTGTTTTGATTTCTCATTCTAGCTCGCCATATTCTCGCATAGCCAAAGATAAACTTTTCAATTGCTTGTTCAACTCGGAAGAGAGGTTTGCTTGGTTAAAGTCCAGTTTCTCTCACTTTGAAATATAGATCCTTTAATATACGTGACTCCCGTTCCACTAGTGACCGAGAAACTTTCTTTATGGTGCAGTAGAGTGCCTGAGAACTTTCGTGATGCAGTAAGTTTCCTTCTAAACTCTTCCAGTGTTGTAGCAACTCGGTTGCAAATTCCCAAAACCATTCATACTCCCGCAAATAAAGATTCTTTCAACGCCAAGAGCTAATTCTCTGGACAAAATCACCCAAGACAATTGACAGCAGTCAAAAACATGCACATAGATTTCAGAACTGAAGCTCACTATGTAAACTTTGAGAAATTCCATTCTGGGTCCGTGATTCACAATGCTTGTTTGTGAAATTCTAATGGTCGTCTTTTTACATTAATGTCTTTTGACTTACCACATAAGCGACAAAGAACACAGCAAAAAGCTAGCTCAGACCTTCGAAGTAATGCAGTCATTAGTTTTATTTGAGTGCAGCTCTATACCCGACCGTCCTTCCACCCGAGACTCAAACCGGCAGGTCTCGGGCATGCCCCTCGATTCTGTGTTTGGTCACGAGTTTTCAAACAATTTTTCTCCACTACGCAAGCCTAGGATGAAGCGCACATCGATGCATATACTCAAGCTGTACAACATGGGCAAGATATTGAGCAAATCGCGGTCGCTCTGGTCGTTGATCCATCCTTCTATCATGACAGCGTTGTCTTCGTGGAGTGCGTAGCTCACAGGCGAATTGTCCAAGATGATCACGTTCTTCAACTCGTCTTCCTTTGCGAAAAATGTCGATAGATTCTTGATGTATCCCACGCCGGAACGAAACGTGCAGTCACTCCTGTAGTAGCGCTTGGTGAACACCTTGGGCAGTTCACCCTGCGGCGTGTTCTTGTAATCAATGATGTCGCTTTCCAACCAGTCGATGATTGGATCCGCGTATTCCTTCACGCTAGCAGTGAAGATCTGGAGCTCAAACCATTTCGAGACTTCTTTCAAGAAAAAGTCACAGAAGGGCCGTTTGTAGACGTAGTAAAGCGTGGACACATTGTTGACCCGCAACTCGATGGTGTGGCTGGATCCACTCGACCCGAAAGACCGAGGGGCGCCGCGCGAAAGCGAGTGGATCAAAGTCTCGTCCAAATCCAACACGAGAGTCTTCTTTTTCCGCCGTTTTTCGGGGTTGCGCGAGAGCGGGAAGAGCCGCGGCGGCGGCGGGAGAATGTACTTGGAAGCCGTGGGAGACTTGATGTTGTTGGCCAAGATCTTCTCCTCTTTTAGCAAGGCGGTTTTCTCGTGGATGTCCTCGGCCAGCGACGCATGCATCTCTGAGGGGGCGGCCTCTTGGTACTCGCTCCCAAAGACGTACGTGAACGGGAACGAGGCTAAGAGCCATGCAAGAAGGATGGGCCTGACGAAGAGTGCGTGGAGGACCAGCGCCACTAAGGCCCGGGCAGATCTCCATAGGCTTTCCGGTCTCGGGGCCTCGTTTTCCTCCAAGATCGGCTCAAAGGAAGTGCTGGCCAGCGAGATTGGTTCGTCCAGCGGGCCTGCTTCCTCATAGTCCAGTTTCTCACAGGTCTCTGGATTCGGCGAGCCGGCACTGGGGTAAAGAGGCTCCAAAGATACGACCAACTTTTTTAGCGAGTTCATTGCATTTGGACAGGGTCGGGGCGGAGCGGTGTAGGCAGACGACGGATGTGAGCCGAGGAGGCGGGTTGTTGTTGGTGGATGCGTGGGGAGAAATATCGGAGGCCTGAATGCAAATGTGGATCGAGAGCAACAGAGCCTTGGGCTGATGATGCGCACGGGCCCAAACCGGGGCCAAAAACCGCGGGCCCCAACCGCGGGCCAAAAATACAGCGCCCCAACGCGTTCCTGGCTGTGGGCGCGCGGCACGCCGCATTGGATGATGGGGTACCGTGGCGGGGGCTCCCGGTGGGATATTGGCAGGATATTGGAGGACAGCTTGTGCGGGATGACACGTCGTATTTGTAAGAGCCCGAGGTGAATTTAGTCAGGGCCTGGAATCGCGGCGGCTTTCCGAAAAAGTGGAGCGGGTGCCACGGGCCCACTCGTAGATGTTTTCCGCCCTCTGTCGTGGGGATTTTCCGCCCGCTGTTTCCTCGCTTTTCCGCCCTCTGTTCCCGCGTCCTGCCCCGTGATCTGGCCGCGAGGGCTTGAGTGCGCACCGAGCCGCGGCCCCAACTTCGCAGGCTGCCGCGATTTTGGGCCGTCCAATTAACCAACAACAGTAGGACGAGGCAGGAGCAAGCAGGACGCGAAAGGAGCCACGCAAAAAAAAAAAATACAGGCTAGCCCAGCACTAGTCGCTGGCCTCGGCCTCGTCGTCAGTAGCAGTGATGGAGGCGTTGATGAAGTCCTGGAATATCGCCAGGAGCGACGTGCGGTCCACCCGGTGCTCGCCGAGCACGGCCCTGGTGAGCCGGCGCATGTTCACCATGGTGGCCATGTCGTCGTTATCGTCGTCATTGTCGTCGCCGTAGTAGTCGGAATCGCCGTAGACCAGCGCCGCGTCCTCCGCCGCCAAGCCGTCGCCCGCGGCGGCCGTAGTCTGCTCGTCAATCACGAAGTTGGAGCTCAAGTTGGTCTTGACGAGGCGCATGGACGTGAGCCGCGCCGCAGCCTCGTCGTCGCCGCTGTCGGCCCGGTCGTGGGTGTCGTCGGGCTCCTCCGGCTTGATCAACTTCAACTGGTGCGTGTTGTAGCTGGCGCAGTAGCGGCACTTGAGCCCCATGATGTGGTAGGCGCAGTTGCTCTTGCCCTTGCAGTCGTTGCAGCTGATGATGCAGCGCCACTTGTCGTAGGGCGGCGGCAAGGGCAGCAGGCGGATCTCCTGGTCGAGGATGCGGAACTGCGTGTCGGTGTTGACCACGGTCTTCTTGCACACCGGGCAGCGGTACGAGTGCTTGATCATCTCGTCGTAGCAGGCCTGGTGGATCAGGTGGCCGCACTTCATGAACACCACCTTGCTGACGCTGGTGAAGAGGTACTCGTTGCAGATGGGGCAGTTGCAGTGGGTGGTGTTGGACATGCACTTGTGGTGGTCCCGCAAGTCGATCAGGAGGCAGATGTTGCACGTGTCGCAGTGGAAGTAGTCCTTGGAGAGCCCGAGCCCGAGCCGGCAGATGCCGCACTTGTCGCAGTGGTAGATGTCCTTGGACGTGTCGTTGTCGTAGAGCACGCACTTGCGGCAGAAGTAGTTGGCCAACTCCTCCTCGCAGTTGACGCAGTAGTTGGTGTCGGGCACCTGCGGCGTGTTGCAGCGCATGCACAAGACGTGCCTGACGTCGCTGCGCGAGAGCTTGTGGTCGGGGACGGCGGCGTCGTGGCAGAACCGGCAGGGGAACCACCGGAAGCACGTGGGGCACTCGAGCTTGCAGTTGCGCTGGTAGTGCACGCAGCCCAACACGTTGGCGGAGTGAAAGGAGGGAAGCGTGTCGAGTTCGGAGAGAACGACCTCGTCGTCGTCGATGTTGGTGTCGATGTTGGTGTCGATGTTGGTGTCGTCGGTGGGGCTGATTCCATCGGTGTTACCGGCGCCCATGTGGTCTGTGCCGCTTCCACGCTGCGACGTTGCCTCCACACTCGTCTCTGTTGTCTTCACAACGTCATTCCCTGCGACACTTCCGACGTCTTTTCTGGCGACACTCCCATCCATCCCCTCCACACTCTTCCCCTCCCCCTCCAAAACCTTCCTCGCCCCCTCGAGTCCCATCCGCTCGTTGATGTACTTGTAGTAGTTGCCCATCATCAACTTCGTCACGAGCTTGTTCTTCAGGTGCTGGCTCAAGTGCGCCGCGCCGTGGATGCGCTGGATCTTGCGCCGGAGCATGGCTTCGTCGAAGAAGTCGTCGAGCGAGTCCAAGCGCGTGAGCACCTCGGCCTCCTGCCGCGTAAGCTCGTCCACCGAGTCCAAATCCGTGGAGCTGCCGCAGCCGTCCGAAAGAATACGGGCCATGGGGGCGGGGGCCTCTCTCCGCCGGATTCTCCTGGTGGCCGTGGGGTGCAAAACGCCGCGGATCGTGGCGGTCTGTGGGAGCACCAAGTCGCCGACAAACGGCTGTTCGATGTTGACCACGGCACCCACGCCCCCCGGCTCCGTGTCCCGCCGGCGCCGCGTTTGGGGGGCGGAGCTGGCCGTGTTTGCGTCTGCATTTGGGTTTTGGTCTGCGTTTCGATTTGCGTTTGCATTTTGAATTCCATCTCCAGAATTCCCAGTTCCAGTTCCATTTCCAGTTACATTTCCATTTCCAGTTCCAGTTCCAGTTCCAGTTCCAGTTCCAGTTCCAGTTCCAGTTCCAGTTCCAGTTCCAGTTCCAGTTCCAGTTCCAGTTCCAGTTCCA